GCTTGAAAGCTTTGCACCTAACAGACAATTTGCGGCCGCGCCCAGCTTGACGTCGGGGCCGACCAGCCGTGTCATCAACTCCTAGATTCACAGCAGAAGAAATGCATGAGGGTCCACCCACATGCTCCAAAAGTGCCCTGATCTTGTTGCCGACAGCCTGGTCGGAGCAGATCGCAGACGCCTTATCTTCAGAAACCACCACCTGCATATCGTCCGACAGAACCGAATACAATTGAGTGGCCCCCGTGACAATGTCATCGACGACTGATCTGGCCGAACCCGTAGCTTGCAAACCGTAATCGTCGACATATATATATATATATATATTTATATATATATACATGAATATATCTCTATATATATATATATATATATATATATATATCGAGGGCATCGCGGATTTTCTGCGGCAGCAGGTCGATCGTGGGAATGGCAGAGACCCTCGCGAAGGTAGCGGCAAAGGAATCTCCCGCAATGGCTCCTTGCCAGGCGAAAAAGGGCCCTTTAACGATCCCGCTGATGTTGATGAACCTTGGGCCTCTATAGGCCGCCATGCAGAGTCGTGAAATAGGCGAAGGGAAACCTAGGTCATCACACCTCTGCTGAAGTATGTCGAGCCTAATAGATTCGTAAAACTTGTGGGGGTCCCATAACACAGAGCACGCAACACCCTTCTTATCCTTCCTGCTCGTCGCATGTTCCGAACGCACAGCTTGCCTCCATGCAACATCCCCAGCCCCAGTGAAGGCTCCTGCACTGAGGTGCGATTTATTGGACCTGGCCTCCCATTGGACAGCGCGCGGTCTCCTCATCCTCCCCCATAACCGATATGCCGAGCTAAACAATCCGATGGGTCTCCACCCACCAGCAGGCTTGGGCAGAAGCGCAACCATGATGGCTCGCAGGTGGTTGGGCAAGAGGGAGGATGCTTCCATGATGCCGATGATACTCATTAACGCCACCAGCGCGTCATCACAGAGTGAGGCATAATGACGCATATGGAAGCCGTCGACACTGGTGGCCGTGCGAGTGGGGTACGACATGGCAACTTCTCTCAGCAAGTCGGGCGACTCGAAGGGGAGCGGATCCTGATGCTCGATGGGCTCTTGCTTGGGGGGCTCCACTGTGGCCTTCCATAACCCACAGAAACGAGCAGCCTCCGAATGAAGAAGAGCATGGGGATCAGATAAGACAACACCCTTAGCCGACAGAGTAGAACATGGGGACCAAGGGGCGACTTCTTTGGTCCACCAATGGGCTCTACGGGCACCTTTTGAAACACCTTCCAGGATCCAGGACTTCCAAGACTTGTTCGCCACCTCGCGCTGCTTGATGGAAAAATCACCCAGGAACTCCGAAACCTCGTCCAGGATACTAGCACCATCAATAATCAAACCTTCTAAAACTTGAGTCTCACCAGGATCATCACGAGGAATACAACCTGTAAAACCGTCGCCCTTGGTCGAGTTGAACAGGTGGCTTTTCCCACGGCAAGAGGTAGGGTTCAATCTCGTACATCGTTGAACAAACTGCTGCACCTTATCCCAGCTGCCCTGGCAGACCCCCATGCTGTCGACAATGATGTCGGGGGGGTGGAGGAGGAAGTTGCCAGAGTCGAGGGCCGAGCCCTTCGCGTCACAGCCAAGGTTCGCGCAGAAAATGCGCAGGGTGCTCTCCAAACAACGAACTCGGTACAACTCGGGCTGCCGTGAAGTGCGCCTATCTTTATCCAAGACAGAGCGCCATGCAAGCTTGGGCAACCTGCCACGGGTGCCTAAAACAGGAAGAGAACACTGACGATTGGCGGCCAACTCTCTCTCCGCCGTGTTAGCCCAAAGCTTATATAACATATTAAGGTGACGCTGCAAACACTGTCTGGGGACACGGTTACGAACCAACCCCAAACCATAAGACGCACAGTCCAAAACATCCATCCAGTCTTGAGGGGCAGGGGCAGGGCCAATAGGGGGTTCAATCGGGATGGGGGGAGGGTTAACAAACCCCAAAGCCTGCAAACTGGCCAGCTGAGGGAAGAAGCTCAACTGCACGGGCTTGTGCGGCTTGGTGGCCGCCTCCAAGCAGACACGGGTGGCCTTCACGGCCTGCGAGAGCCCGCTGGAAACCAGGAAATAGTCGAGCATGCGGACTCCTTCCTTGCTCGTGCCCGCGCAGGTGCCCTTGGATTCAGGCGCGACCAGGTTGGCACTGAGCACCGAGACCAAATCGCATGAAACCAGAACATCAGGCTCCATCTGGAAGTCCGCACCCAAGATGAACGGACCAGGAAAATATGATAATTCAGCACCGAGCTTGCACAAGATACCCAGATTGGACTCGGAGAGGCCCTCGGAGTCCCTGAGATACGCGGAGACCACAAGGATAGAGACTCCGCCTGGGATCTGAACAATAGCTGACGCAGCACGGTGAGGAACCAGAGTGGGGCCCACCTTAGGCGAGACGTCATGACAGCCCAAGAAGTCCCTGACGAAGATGCCCACTCCACCAGAGGTCCCGAGCCCTATACCTGGGGCCGCTGGGACGAGCCTGGACTTCCAGCCTGAGCGGAGGCCCCATTGGGAGGCCTCGCCAACCAGATCACCCAGAAGATGATGTTCTTGAACAAGCACCACATGAGCCGTCGTACGACTCAACCACGCTTTCGCCGCATTCCAACCCGTGCAGTTAGCTGTCTCCACGACCAAATCAAAACCGTCGAGATCCGAGCAAGCTGGGGCCCAGAGACAACTGCCAAAATTCAAGGACGGAGCCTTGGGGGCGGGAACACGGCACAGCCTGGCAATAGAAGGTGAAACATGCAAAAAGTCACCCCCCGACACGCTGCTCACGTGAGCCTTAGGCGTCGGGGGGGGGGTTGTTTGAGAAGGCGGCTCAGGCTGCATCCTGTTGGCGGGCATCTCCTTCGCGAGCTGCCGAACGTCAGGATGTGGGACAGCATCAGCCTCATGGGCACCCCCGTGGTCTCCAGAAGAGCTGCTGTCTGCACTTCCTCCCCCGCTGGCGGAGTCCTCATGAACTCCAACTGCTGCATCTCCAAGCTCCTGCGGTGGACGAGCACCAGCGGGGCTGTTGCCCCGCGCGATCTTCTCAGCAGGCTGGACGGAAGTCTCCTCAGGCTTCCTCTTGTGGAGCTTGGACATGTGCTGGCGGTGGGAGGCTTTGATCTGGTCCACAGACTGCTGAACCTTCTCAAACAATTGCTTCGTGATGGCGACCACACTCTGCTCCAGCTCGCGTTTCCTGGCCTCGAACTGGTTGTGGTCGTCGGATGATAGCTCGTACTCCTTAGCGTCGAGGCCGAGGATGCCTTCACCGTAGTCGATGGTGAGGGCCCCCTCCTTACCGTCGAGGATGTCACGCAGGCAGAGCTTGCCAACATACCGATGAGGATCAGGATGCACCACATGATGCAGCTGCTCGACCAAGGCTTTGTGCTCCTTGTCGGCCTCGGACAGCTCGGCAGTGAGTTTGGCCATAGCTTCTTCGCATTGATACACCCACTTCCTCGCCCTGGCGACATCATCAATCTCCTTCTTGAGGCGGCGCTCGATGGAATGCACACGCTGGCGCGCCTCCTCAGTCTGCCTTTCCAGGGGCTTGGGTGGGATCTCCTTGGGTTTCTTAGCTGCAATCCACACCTTATACTGAGAAGCTGCAATAGAGTCACCGAACTTCTCAGCCAACGCGAGCAACTGCTTGACATCGTCTTCAGTCGCTGTGTCTGGGACCGTGATGGCTGCTGGCGACAGGTGCGGAGGGCCCCGCTGCCAACTTCCACGAGGCGCAGGAACATCACGCACAGGCACATCGACACGTTCACGCTGGCAGTGCTTACAAAACCACCACTTGGCAAGATTTTTTTCCACACCCACAATCCTCATAGCTGCACTTCCACATCGCCTGGCGACCGCCTCCGCGATGCTGGGCGTCCTCTCCGTCGACACCTGCGGCGAAGCGAACGCGCTTGGCCCACGGCCGCTCCTCCCAAGGCGAGGCCTTCGGCGGCGGCACCATTGCGACTGCTGGAAGTGGCGGGACGTGGCTGGAGGAACCGAGAGCCAGAATGACTCGCTGTCACCCAGCCGTTCTGAAGCGTCAGTGACAGGAAGCACAAAACTTTGTGCCAGAACGGCTAGGAGGAGGAGGAGGAGGAGGAGGAGGAGGAGGAGGAGGAGGAGGAGGAGGAGGAGGAGGAGGAGGAGGAGGAGGAGGAGGAGGAGGAGGAGGAGGAGAGAGGAGGAGGAGGAGAGGAGGAGGAGGAGGAGGAGGAGGAGGAGGAGGAGGAGGAGGAGGAGGAGGAGGAGGAGGAGGAGGAGGAGGGGAGCGCCGCCCTCTGTGGGGAGCGCCGCCCTCTGGTTTGCCAGCCTGGAACATATCCCTGTCCCTATGCTGGGCACCTCCCCATCACGACGCCAATCTCAGGGGTTCCCCGATTTTTGGAGGGCGCATCCCTAAGGTTGTCATCGCCTCTTGGCGCGTCAAGCTCAGGGATAGGGATACGTTCGAGGCTGGCAACTTGTGGGGCGCGCGCGAGAGCAGAGAGAGAGCGCAGCCCATTGCGCTGCGGGTCCCGCTCCCGTGCGCTCCGCTGCCTCGCCCAGTCCCGCGAGCTGCCACCGCGGCATCCTCCCCCCCTCCTCCTCCTCCTCCTTCTCCTCCTCCTCCGCTTCCTCCCCGCGTGCCCGCCTGCCTCCTTCGCCTCGCCCCCTCTCTGCAGGGCTCATATTTCGATTCCTCCGGTTTTACTCGAGTCGAATCGGAGTCGAGGGCTTCCGATTCTGGTTCGATCCGACTTGGGACTCCGATTCGGGCTCCGATTTCTCAATTGAGGCCCATTAGCCTGCCGGTTTCTGCCGGCTCGACGTCTCCCGGCTCGCCTGCCGATTTCCGCCGATCCGATGGACTCCGATTGCCGATCCAACTTGTCGATGTGATTCTGGGCTCTCCTGCCTCTGAGCACAACCCCCCTCCTTGCCCCCGAGGCTCTTGGGGTGGCGACGGTGGCGACCGGAAGCAGGGCGTG